CCTGTCTCGGAATGAAATACAAAATAGGGCTGGGGGTGTGGCTCAGTGGTCAAGTTCCCCTGAGTTCAATCCCCAGTACCAAGGAGAAAAGAAAAAGAAAAAAAAGGTAAAGGTCTGATTTGCAGATGATATGATTATGTAACCAAAAAGACCCAAGCAAATAATCAGGGAAAAAAACTATTACAAGCAAAAAATAAACTTAGCCTGTTGCAGTATAAAAAATTAAATATGTGGAAACCAAAATATCTTATTTTAAAATTTGTTGACTCTAAATGAATAGAGAAGGAAGAGCTGGAAGGGGCCCGTTCGGTGCTGCCTGGCCGTCCTCTTCCACTTCCTTTGAGCCTAGACCGCAGCTCTCCTCACCCGCTGTTGTAACCCCTTCCTTCCTCACTCACCAGCCCTGCCTTCTTCAGGATCCGATGGTGACACTGGCTCCTGTTTAACTGAGGGAGTAGGAGCAAAGCATGGTTGTGCTTTCACACTGCAGCTGCCTGATTCCTGCCCATCTGTGCCGACTTCTCTTCTTGTCACTTATCCCTGCCTCCCGCTGAAGCACACTGCTCTTGGAATCGAGTCTCTCATTTTTCCCTTTCTCCTGTCCTGGAAGAAGACACCTATTGATATGGCACTTCCCCTTTCTGAGGCCGACCCATTTTTCCATTCACCTCAGCCCCAACAAACAGTTGGTCAACCAACAGTCAGTTCCTATTTTCTCTCCTCTGAATGTCTCTCTCTTGAAACCACTGCAGTCAGGCTTTAAGCATAAATGTTCTTGTTGGAGTCACAGTGACCTCCAAGATGCTTAATTTAGTGGTCATTTCTCAGGCCCCATTTCACTTGGCCTGTGGCATTTTTCCTTGGCTCCCAGGATTCCTTCTCCTGGATTTACTGCTGCCTCTCCAGCTGATCCTTCAGCCCTTTTAGAGCCTCCTGGCCTTTTCACCATGACAGAGAACCCCAGGACTTTCCTGCCCCCCCCCTTTATTTCTGAAAACAGCCTTCTCTTTAGCTTTAAATGCCATCTTCATGCTGGGGACTCCCTCTCAGACCTTGCCCAGACTCCCTCTGCACTCCAGGCCTTTTGATCAGCAGCCTTCTTGGCCACCTTCATTTAAATGTCCAGTAGCATTTTAAGACATGACAGTTCCAAAATCAGACAGCTGGCCTCCCCTCCCTCAGCTGTTTCTCTGTAGGTCTCCATATCTATAACATGCTCCCTCATCCTTCAGCCGCTCGAGGCAGAAACCTCCGAGAACCAGAGCTCTCTCAAGCCCACATGAAATCCCTCCCCGGATCCTCTCAGTCTTTACTTTTACAGTGTCTGGAATCCAATCACCTTTCATGGCCTCAGCCTTTTTCTTCACCTGGATTATGACAGCAGTTTCCTTACTGGTTTGGTGTGGGTGTGTGTATCTGTGTGTGTGTATGTGGGGGGGGGTGCTGTTATTTGTTTTTGCTCTTATTCTAAATAGTCCATTCTGCGCACAGAAGTCAGAGGACCTTTTAAAATCATTTTGTGTCTCGGTTCAAAACTCTTCACATTCAAACTTGACATACCTGAAACCGAACTCCTGACCTACACACACACACTCTATGCCCCTTCTGGCTCTCAGGTACAAGCCGGAAGTCCTGACACCTACCAAGACCAGGTGATCTGGCCCCCTGTGACCTCTCTCCTGTCCCTCCAGGCATTATTAACTGCCTCTCCTGTTCCCCCACTCAGGCTGCCTGCCCTCCTTGCTGTTCAGGGTGTCCTTGGGCTGCCGTCTGACTGGCAGGCTCTTCCTCAGGTATCCATGTAGCTCCCCACCTGGTCTCATCACCCCTCCAATTTCCGTTGTGTCCCTCCCCACCTCCTGTGAAGTCATAGCACCTCCCCCGCCCTCCCATCCCTGTTCTCTGCTTTCCTCATAGCACTGGACTGCCTGGTGTAATTTGGCTTTTGCTTGATAATTTGCTCTCTTTCTCCCTCTACCCTAGATTATAAATTTGACGAAGGCAGATTTTTATACTTTTTTTACGTGTGGGGGCGGGTGGTATTAGGAATTGCACTCAGGGGCACTCAACCACTGAGCCACACCTCCAGCCCTATTTTGTATTTTATTTAGAGACAGGGTCTCATTGAGTTGCTTAGCACCTCACTTTTGCTGAGGCAGGCTTTGAACTCTCAATCCTTCTGCCTCAGCCTCTGGAGCTGCTGGGACTACAGGTGGACACCCCTGCACTGGCCAGATTTTTGTCTATTTTATTTCCTGCTGAATCTCTCAGCAGAAAAATGCTCCTCGCTTGGTAGTCAGAGGTATCTACTGAGGGCTGGGGATTTGGCTCAGTAGTAGAGCATATGCAAGGCCCAGCACCATAAAAAAAAATAAAAATGTAAAAATTAGGTATTTACTGAATGAATGATTGAGGAAGATAGATTGGAGAAAGATGCACAATCTCCAGTAGAAAAGCTAGTTTAATGGTTGAGGCAAAAGGCGATTCATTCTTTAATTTTGGATACTTGTTTCCTTGATTGGTCATTTTCTTTGTTTACAATGCATTGTTCTTTTTTTTTTTTTTTTTTTTTTTTGAGACATAAACTCCTTAGGGTCAGGGACTCAGTTCTTATACCTATTTATTTCCCTAGTCAATGAATGTTCAAATAAATGCTGAGGAGAGGTAATTCTCATTGACTACAAGCACTCGGGTCACTTGTGTTTTTTCTACATATTTTGCCAATGTTTTGCACTGTTACTCTATTCGACATTTCAGATTGCATGTCTTCCCATTGAGTTCTCCAGCAAAGCAAGAGGTCTCTGGAATAGACAGGGTTAATCCACACAGTAGTAACTGCAGAAGCACCAATACTCTGATTGCTTCAGCGCAGGCCCACTGGAATGACTGTCCCTTCCCCAGCACTCTAACCTTCCGCACATGCTGCTTGGCAGCCCTCACGTGTCACGGCTCTGATCGACTCTAGGGCAAGAATCATTCCATTCTAACAGATGGACATGAATTTAACCAGACAATAAACCATGTATGTGCCATAAATATGTTTGCTGAGGGCAGGATTCCCAGTGCAGAACTTTAAGAACAGCTGTCTTATCATGTGCCACTGTTTCTTGGTGAGATGATTTGCTAACCAAATTCTGAAATGGATTACATTCATGAAGTTAATTGTGCTTTGGCCCCCGACTTCCAGCAGCCTAATTATTTGCAGGGAGAGGCCCAATTTTTATAAACAAAAGTTATGAAATTAGTTTTAGACTTTATTTTTAAATTAATTTGATGTGTTTCCAAATTTAGTGTCATCAGTCTAAAAGGGCTCATTAACCTTTCCTTCATTGCCAGCAACTTGCCTTAATGCCTGAGGGAGATGCAAATCATTAATTGTAAACAGCCATTTTTTCCCCTCAATGCTATTTCCTTTTATTACTGATATTAAATTGCTATATAAGCTGCTAGAGTGGTTTTGCTGTACTGTTCCTTAAAAACGCAGTTCTACTGTCTTTCTACTTCTTTTTCTCATTATCTTCAGAGATGTTTTCATCCTCTCCATAAACATCGCTTTCCCTATGGAACCTATGCAAATTAAAATGTGGAATATTTGTTCGCTTTGCATTCTGTAGAGGGTAACTTCTATTGATGTGCATTTGCGTTGGCATGATCTACCAGGCAAAGTATAAATTGCTGTAAAACTGGAAAAGTGTTTGAGGAAAGCAGATGTTCTCTTAGCATGAAGCAGATGTAAAACTTGCAAGTGTCTGTCTAATAAAGTATAGCATTTGGTTCTATACAGCTGGTGCCAAGATTACCAATTAATCATGTTTGAATGCATTTTTACTAATTAGATCCCCCTCTGTTTTTCACTGTTCTGGGTATATTACAGAGCGGGGTGGGGCACATAAGCTTTCCACTTTTAGAACTCTGAGCAGGGTTCCCCCCACCATGGGCCTTTTATCAGGCTGGTTTTTCATTCTAGAACTATATAGGAAATTAAGCCCATAGATGTGGAGGGCTAATTGGGCCCTCCAGTTGTCATTGTAGGATGTTCCATCAAAAGGAACAGTTAGTACTTCCCTTTAAGGCAGCTGGAGAAAAGAAGAGGCCTGTAATTAACGTTGTTGGTTTGTTTGTTTTCCCCCTTATTTACGTGGACAAAAGCAATTATATGCTCAGTTAACATCAATTCACGGCCTCTGTGGTTATTTGACAAAGTAGGAGTTTGAACAATCCAGAAATGAATCTTTACAGTTTGGGGTTTTTTGTCATCAAGAGCAATGGAGCAGTTTTTCTCGGGGACTGAAGATGACTGGGTCAACATCACTCCCAGGACGCCTGCACTGCCGTGGACAACAGCACGAATCAGTAGCCACTGTGAGAACTAAGAAAGCCGTGTCGTCCTCTCTGGACCCTTCTGTAAAGAAGTGTGCTGATGGAATCCAATTCCAGAACCCAGTGGACCTTTTTTCAATGTTTAATTTCTCTGAGCTAAATTGGTACAGATCCTGGTTTTTAAAACACTGGGTTAAAATGAATCTGTCGTGACATAGATCAAAACTTTCTGTTTGTTGATACTTTTACATGTGCATTAGATGCACCATCTAAGAGTATTAATAGGATTATTCCAGAAAGTCTTCCTCATCCTCATTACCCAGTGTCCCCATATTTTCATGAAATTTAATTTTGTATGAAATAAATTAACTCTGATACATAAACTTACATAGAACTAATTGTTAGTATCTCTATTTTTAGAAATGGTTTATCGTGGAAAACTTTAAATATCCACAAAGGTAAAATAGTGTATGTGCCCATGTGCCCATCCCCCAATTCCAGCAATCATCAGCCTTCTGTGGTTCTGGTTTGTCAAGATCTCAGGACGGTGTTCTTGAGACTACATTTGCAGAGTTATTTTTCTCTTTAAAGTTGTAGTTGTGTAACCTGTTTCTACAGTGATAATACACATTTAAACAAAACTAGGTCACATAAACCCAGTAGATCTGACTTTATTTCAGGAAGTGGAGCGAGAAATCTCATTCAGAACAGAATGTGGACTGTATTACTCCTACTACAAGCAAATGCTGCAGGCTCCAACCCTCATGCAAGGTAATTACAATTAACAGTTTTATTGGGAGTCGACCGCATCTTTACAAAATTTCAGTCAAAGCATCTTTTGCACTAAAGCATCTTAAATGCTTTGTAGAATTTGTGTAGTTTTACCCTGAACTTATGCAGTTTTTCCTTGTTAATTTCTAATCATTTCATGAAATTGTTTTGCTCTGGAAGAGGTTATATAATACTTTATATAATCCTCCTGGCCTTGCCTTCCATCTCTGTTCCATCCCCAAACTAACCTCTCTGCAGTTTTTTTTTTTTTTAAGTTTTGTTGATTCTTTTTGTGATGATTTTGGAAGAAGTCTTTGCAGGCGAAAGGAGTATGATCTAAAAACAGTGGGTATTTTGGTTCTGAAAACTAAGTTGTCCCTCTTGTTCCCAGTGTCCCCATTCATTTCTTTATTTTGCAGTTGCCATCTTCCTATGTTCTCGCTTGACCCAAGTGGGTCAGAGCCATACTCTGCTTTTCTTCCACCTGATGGAAGCCCCACAAAGAACCTCTTCTACTTAATACATCCTTTATCCCTAACCTGGGTATACCTGAGAGAATTGCCCTTTTCTGGGATTTGGCTGGACTCAGCTGTGATATTTTGGGTGGGAATTCTTCATGGGTAGTGTTTTCTACTTCTAATTTTATCACAATAGGAAACATGAAATTTTGGTTATCTTTTTGTGCCATAAAAACAAATCACTTGTTTTCTGTGTTGATAACCAGATTCCTCCCTAACAAAGTCAATTACCCATAGCCTTTCACTTAATGGTTTGAGCAACCGTTGATGATTATTACCTATCTCCATTTTGCAAAATACAATGACTAAAAAATAATATCCTCCTACTTCTTTCATTTCTCCCTATATTTATTAGTTGGAACTCCCTTCTGTAGAAAACCTTTCTTCGTTTTCTTCATTTGTTTGGTTACCTTGAGGTTCAGTTCATATAAGAAAGACAGGCCAAGTATTGATTTCGCCCCATAAGGTCAATCCTCATTTTTCACAAATTCCTTATTTCCAAAGTCATCTCACTAAAATTTATCTATGATCCCAAAATCAGTATTCATGGCACTTTCACAGTCCTTCATGGACATGTCCAGAGCATCAAAAAATCTTAGTTGCCCAACATGGATGTTCTCACCAGAGACTAAAACAGGGCCAATGTTCTGCCTCTGGTTTCAGCTCTCATATTATTGTGTCCTTTTTACAGTCTCTGTTGTGTCATAGTTTTTTACATTTTTATGCTGTTTGTTGCTGATTTTGCAGTTTCACATAGCCCCCAAACAGAGTGTGAAAGTACTGTCTTGTGTTCCTAAGTGCAAGAAGGCTTAGGAAAGAAAGAAAACATGTGGGTTACATATGAAAATGTATGTTAGATAAGCTTTGTGCAGGCATGAGTTACAGTGCTTGACTGTGAGTTTAAACAATATATTAAAGAAAGGGTCTTTAAACAAAACACACATAAAACAAGGTTATACACTGACCAGTCAATAGAAGTCTATAATCATCAACTTGCAAGAACCCAGCCCATTATTTCCTATTAGTTCAGTATTGAATATTTCACTTTTTACTATAACTTTATAGAAAATAACTACCATGAGTAATGAGAATAGACTGTATTTACCAGTTTTCAGAATTTTGAGTTGCTTATCTAGCATTCTCTAAAGCAATTCTTTTTATTTGGGAGGGGGGCAATTTTACACTTTGGGGGAGATCCAGAATATCTGGAAATATTTTTGGTTGTCACAAGTGGAAGGGGTGTGCTACTAAAATCTGGTGAGCAAGAAGCTGGGGTACAGCCAAACTTCCTACAGTGCACCTAGCAGCCCCCACAACAAAGAACTGGCCCAAAATATCAGTGTTATTGAAATTGAGAAAGCATTCTTTAAGTATCACGACGAACTCATTGCTTGAGCTGTTTCAATTAATTTGTTATTCATTAAAATTATTCTTTTAGAAGATTTCAAACATAAAATGGTAGAGATAATCCTGTAATGGATTTCTATATATCCTTCATTCAGCTAAAACAGTTACCAACTCATGACCAATCTTGTTTTCTCTATATCCAAATGACCTCAACCTAGGTCATTTTGGAGTAAATCTCCAAAACATTCCTTCATCTGTAAATATATCAGTATGTTTCAGTAGTGAGTATTCTCATTTCCTTTTGCCTTAACAGACTTTTAAATTAATAGTTTGGAAATGCAAAGAATGTCTCCATTGCAATCATTTGATATCGCTTTAACTGTTTCCTTAAATTTGTATCTTTTCATCTTTTTCCCTGTAATTTTTTGTTGAAAATATATATTAATTTTGTTGGATAATTTCCCTCTTTCTGAATTTTTCTGGAGCCCTATGGTGTCATTTAAATATTTCTTTGCTGAATTTCCTGTTAATTGTTGGATTGAGGTTTGCCCAGATGTTGTTCTACTATTGGGTAAGAGTACTTCCTGGGTGGTGTTCTGTATTCCACATCAGAGGGTACCCAGTATCTATCTGCAGGCTAAAAATGATCTATCTATTACTAAATTCTCAGTAGAGAGGCTTCCCCCTAATTGTTTCAGCACAATTGATGATGATTATTATCTACATCCATTAATTATATATTCATTTCACACAAAATGGTGGTATTCTAATTCCATCATTCCTTCTTTCATTGCTGGACAAAATTCATCTCTAAAGAAAAATATGTTCTCAGCAACTATTCGGTGAACCAGTTTAATCCTTTCCCTTTGTTATTTTTTAAAATGAATTGCCTGCCTTTCTTTTCTTTTTTCTTTCTTTCTTTCTTTTTTTTTTTGTACTGAGCCACATCTAGGGCCTATTCATTTTTATTTATTTATTTTTGAGTCAGGGTCTCACTAAATTTCTGAGGCTGTCCTTGAACTTGTGACCCTCCTGCCTCAGCCTTCTGCGCTGTGGAGGTTACAGGCATCTGCCACCACACCCAGCTTAGAATGCAGCCAGTTAAGATTTTGTTTGTTTAAGAAATTTGTGGATTTTTAGTATAATATTGATGTGTTTTGATGCTCAGCCACCTTCTTGTATTCACATTGCTCAAGCTGTTGTAGTTTGGGGTGCTCTTCGGATTGCCTGCTGTCTTTTTGACATGACTACCCATGGTCTCTGACAACTCTTTGCTTTTGAGGAGCATGACAAAATATTTGAGGCCCATTTTGTATATTTTCTACCCCTGATCTGGAATCAGCTCTTTCTCCAAGGAGCTCTAGTTCCTTCTGTTTAAAGACTCTAACTTTTGTGTTGGGAGCATTTATTGTTACTAGATGGGTCTTTATTTCCAGTCCTTTGTAGTGAGCAGAGCTAGGAAGTATGATTTTTTTTTCCTAAGAGAAAATATGAATATAACTATTTTCAGAGCAAAGTTATGATAACAATTTTTTTTTATGACCCTGGGGATTAAATCCAGGGCCTTGCACATGCGAGGCAAGCACTCTACCAACTGAGCCATATCCCCAGCCTCAACAATTTGTATTTTTTAATTTCATATTTATATCTTTTCTTAAAGTGAAATTTTTGATTCCTTACAACATTAATGTTATCACTTACATGCTATATGTAAATATATAGGTACAGACATACATATATATGATTTTCAAAATGACAATAATATTGCTCCTAACAGTATGATTACCTGAAAACAGTTCAAGCTGTCTGTATTTTCTTCTTACCTTAGGATTGAAGCTATGTAGGGATACACAGTCACTTTCCTCTGTTTTTCAAATTACCTGAAAGAGTTCTGTCTGCATGACCAAGCCACTAGCTCTTATTTGTTTTATCTTGTTTTTGTTTTTTTAGGAATTGTGTTATAAATTTTTTATTTAATATTTTTAACTTATTTTAAAAAAATATTTACAAAGTTTCAAACTCAAAATGATAAACAGAGAGCCTTTTGTTTATTTGTTTGTTTGTTTGCTTTTTGGTGGTGGTGCTAGGGATGGAGCCCAGGGCTTTGTGCGTGTGAGGTAGGCACTCTGCCACTGAGCTACACTCCAGCCTTAATCTTTTTTATTAGTTTTCTATTTATTCTTCTGTTAATGCTTTAAGTTACTTGAATATGTTCATATTTCTCTCTTTGTTACAGAAAATCTGCTTACTATATACACTGTCTCCTATTTTGCTTTTTCCACCTTACAAAGATCTTGAAGATCATTCTGTAGTAGAGTATAAAGATGCTCCTATTATAAAAGTGGTCTCCTTTATTAGTCTGCTTGGGCTGCTATTACAAAATACCATAGACTGGGTTGCTTCAGCCACAGAAATCTCTTCTCCTGGAGTTCTAGAAGTGTGGAAGTCTGGGATCAGGGTGCTGGTCAGGTTCTGGTGAAGGCTGTCCTCCAGACTTGCAGAAGGCAAACTCTCTGGTGACCCTTTTTTTAAGGACAATAAAACTCTCTTGTGTCCCTTTTTTTAAGGCCCTGCCCTTTGACATATGAATTTTGCAGAGACCCCAACATCTAACAGTCTTGCTTTAGTATTCTAGGTCTACCATAAAAATGCTACAGACTGTGTAGTTTAAACAAGTTCATTTCTCTCCATACTGGAGACAAGGTGCCATTAGGGTTGGTTTGGTTTCTTTTCTTTTTTCTTTTTTCTTTTCTTTTCTTAGAGCCATATCTCTATCCCTTTTTAATTTGAAAGAGAATCTCACTAAATTGCTTAGGCCTTTGCTAAATTGCTGAGGCTGGCCTTGAATTCACAATCCCCCTGCTTCAGCCTCCCTAAACATTTGGGATTACAGGTGGTTCCACCATTCTTTACTCAGCCTGGCAGGGAGTAAAGCCTCTCTTCCTTGGTTTTAAAGGCCCATTCCAGTCCTTGTACTATGCTCGCAGGGGAAAAGTGTGAGTTTGAAAGCAAGCTGTCTGTACCTCTTCCTCTAAGGACACCAACCTTTCAGACTAAGTGCCCACCCTTATGACCTCACTTGACTTTTTAAAAAAATATATATTTATTTTTTAAGTGTAGATGGACACAACACAATGCCTTTATTTTTATGTGGTGCTGAGGATCGCCCGTGCTAGGCGAGTGCTCTACCACTGAGCCACAATCCCAGCCCCGCACTTAACTTTGATTACATCGTCTAGGCCCTCCCTTTCCAAATACATTCCACTAGGGGTTAGGGCTTCAACAAATGAATTCAATGGGAACATGGTTTCATCCCTAACACTTCTTGTCAATGGGCACTTGGGTCATTTCTGATCCTTTACTGTTAAAGACAGTTGTGCATGAATGACCTTGTGCCCATGTAATTTTGTGTTTTTGCCAGTCTGCCTTTGGAATTGATTCCTAGTTACGGGCTTCCCAGATCAAAGGACAAATACACATTATTTTGTTGTGTGTTGCAAAATTCTTCATAGAGATAATCCCATTTTGCACTGCATTGCAGTGAGGGAGAGTCGACTTCCTTAAAACCTCACTAACACAGTAGATTGTCAAAGATCTTGATTTTTGCCAAGCTGATAGGTGAGAAATGATATCTCAGTGCAGTTTTAATTTGCACTTCTTTTATTAGGAGCAAGGTTGAACATCTTTTTCTGGACTAAAGGATGGTAGGCATGTTTTCTTCTGGGAATCATCTATTCATACCTTATGTTAGTCAGCTTGGTTTCAGTAGCAGATGACTTCAGGGTAACCATGGATTTCTATAACAATGGGTTTGTTTCTTGCTCCCATTGTGTCTGCTGAGAGGCAACAGTAGCTCTGCTCTCCCCCATGTATCCTCTCAGTCCATCCTCTTTTGGAAATGCCAGGGTCTTGGTAGAGGGAAAGAGCAAGAGCTGGTGGAAACACACGTCCCCTCTTAGAGCCTCTGCTCAGACACGGCATATGTCACATCTGCTGACATGCCAGGGGACTGGGAGAGTCAAATGGCCCAGCCCATCCCAAGGAGTGCTGCATGTCACATGTAAGAAGGTGTGCAAGGTGTAAAATCCTCTTGCCTGAACTTCTACAGAAAAAAATGTGTCTCTTTTTTAATTGCAATCACAAAAGTTGTTTGGGGGGGGTTGTCATAAATTTTTTAATGTACTATGTTTGCATAAATGCTTACATGTTGTCTAACACATGTGAAGCTCTTTGAGGGTAGGACTGTTTTCTTGCTTACCGTTACAACCCCAATGCCCACCACATTCTCTGATACATTCTAAAGAATATAGGATAATTTTGAATGGATGAATAATTATAACTTTTTTCTCTGAATTTTCCAATATCATTCTTAGGTTTTCGTGGCTTAATTTATGATAATAAAACTGAATCTATGAGGACAATTAACCTTCTTCAACGAATGAATATTTACCAAGAAGTTTTTCTCAGTATTTTATATAGAGTTCTACCCATACAGGTATGTTATATCCTGTGACATAGAGTTGTTAATATCAGGTGAAAGTCAAAATCCATCATTTTGAATTAAAAGTTTCACCTGTGTTCTTCTAATCTTCAACTGGTTTGGTAGAAAATCAACAATACCCTAATTTTTCTCCATATATACTGTGAACTTTACTTTTTGTTTATAGTATTGCTGTTTATTTATATTTTGTAAGATTCTTACATATAGTTATTTCCTGGTTTATAGCATAGTTGGTAAATATTTTCATTTGGAAACATGTAATCACTCCTGTTTTATCTTTGAGATTAAAAAAATTGTAAGATTAGCACATCACAATGACTACTTCTCCTGTGAATTAGGCAAAAATGGACAAAGTTAAGTGTAAAGTTGTCTTAAGTATGAAGGCTTAAAAGGGCCATTCTTCCCTCCTCTCCTGAAGGTGGGAAGACCAGTGCTCACACACTTCTGGATGGGAAGGGTGGTGTGGATGCTCTGCTGGGAATTAATGGCAAGCTTCCAAGTACTGAATTTCTACTGTCATATCTTTTTAAAGGGCAATAAGGTGGGTTGTGGCTTCTCTGACAAACGTTTTTTATTGCTCTCTTTTACAGAAATACTTAGAGCCAGTTTATTTTTATATTTATACTTTATTTGGACTCCAAGCAATCTACGTCACGGCTCTTTACATAACCAGCTGGCTTCTTAGTGGTACCTGGCTGTCAGGAATGCTGGCAGCTTTCTGGTATGTCACAAATAGGTGAGTTGGAATGAGTGTGTCTCTCATCCTTTCCAAAGTGAAAGTAAAATTGACGTTACTTTATTTCCAGTTCAAAGAAATTTCTTCTTCTGTACTTGATTGGGAGCATTTTCTCTTTGGTTCACTTAGTGGTTTACTACATTTTTCTTGCTTGGTAAGATAGGAAGTCTTTTTCACCTGTATTTCCAGCTGAGGAAACAGAACACTGTATTGTAGAACAAGAGAAATATCTAATAATTTTAGTTTTATTACCTGTTTGCTATGTGATCAACATTTTTCCAGCCACATATCTCATCTCTCAAAAAGAGTTGTAATACTATCTTTGCCATCAGTCGTAATAGGAGTGTGTCTAGTTCTCAATTAGCAAAGTATAAAGCATAAAGCACTGTACAAAACCACTGGAGCCATATGAAATAGAACTTTAAAAAAAATCAAGATATATTGAAAAGATACATTGCCTGATCTACAGGAGCAACACGAATATTCAGTAGTGAAATTATAACTTAAGCATGAGTTCTTATACAGATTTTGTTTTGTAATCCTAAGCAAATTACTTTTTTGTAGCCCTATTGAGTGCTTACTATGCCAGCCACTTTAAAAGGCACTTTACATGTATTCTGTTAACAACCCTGTAGTATAGGTACTATTATTATGTCCTATTTATTTATTTATTTTTATAGTAGCAGTTGAACTCATAGGCACTTAACCACTGAGCCACATCCCCAGCCTTTTTTTGTTTGTTTTTTAATTTTTTATTTTGAGACAAGGTCTCATTTAGTTGCTGAAGCTGGCTTTGAACTCATGATCCTCCTGCCTCAACCTCTGGAGCTGTTGAGATTACAGGCATGCATCACCATGCCCAACTATTATGCCCATTTTGGAGATAGGAAATTGAGACTGAGAAGGTCACTTTATACATGCACACACACAGAGTCGTGTATTGAATGCCTAGTATGTGCAGACATGGTTCTTGCTATAAAGTGTGCAAAGATGAATACTTATCTACATTTGCTCTCTAGGAGTTCCCATTCTAGACAGACAAGAAGTTTTTACAAAGTGTTGCCACTGATAAACCAGATGCAGAGGCTTTACACCTGTATTCCCTGTGTCTGGGGAGGCTAAAGCAGGAAGGTCACAAATTCCAGGCCAGACTTGACAACTTAGTGAAACACCATCTTAATATAAAGAAAAAAAAAAGGACTAGGAATGTAGCTCACTGGTAGAACGCACCTGGGTTCAATCCCTGGTACTACAAACGAAACAGAACAAAAATTATTGTCAGTGACAAATTGAAGACTCACAAAAAAAGCACTAAAAAAATACAGAGAGGCAGAATACACAACGTTGCCTGTCAGCAATAATGCAGTTAGAGAATAAAGTAAGGAGCCTATAGGCATATACTGCATGTTAGGCACGATACTTTCGGGAGACTTTCAATTCCACCACTTAAATACATACCTTTGGACAGGTTGCTTAAATTTTCCCAGTGCCAATTTTATGTTATGGGGATGCTGATGATTTTAGCTACTTTTAGGACAATTTTAGCTATTCAGAGTCAATTACCAGGATCTAAGTATGATTGTGCTTAATGTAATATATCTTTCACTTTAGAAAATCTTTGGGAAAATTATTGTAAAAACTATCATTTTGGCCACTTGTGTTCTCTTTGTGCAGAATAGATACCACCAGAGTTGAGTTTACCATCCCACTGAGGGAGAACTGGGCACTGCCCTTCTTTGCAATTCAGATAGCAGCGATTACATATTTCCTGAGACCAAACTTGCATTCTCTTTCTGAAGTAAGTTTCTATAGAACTTTATATATTTTTAATTTCCCAATTTTATATAAGAAGCTTTGAAGAATGTGTGATGCATAGTGTCCCAATCCATGTGAATAGTTCTTATTCCATGACCAAGTTTTTAACTCGAGTTAAATTTTCTTTTTCTGAGCTTTTTCCTACTTTGCAAAGAAAATGTTTTCATTTTCTATGTTAAAAATGTACTCTACATAATCTACCCTTAAATAGTTGCAGCAAGCCCACACACACTTTCTGTGAAACTGTCAGAATTTTTAAGCCATTTGCTCTTGAGATGTGATTTGGTGCATTATCGCCTCCATAATAGTGTGGAATACACATACCGTATGTGAATATTTATATGCAGAGTGTCACTTTAGGATATTTAGAGCTTAAATAACAAATGCAAGGGTTTTCAGAGCAACAGTTTATGGTTTTTCTATTTGGTTTATAGAAGATATTGGCTGCTCTTGAGAAAACTTGTCTGCAGGGTTTTTTATTACTAGAGACATGTAAATTATACAAAGGTTTTCTTTTTACAGAGGCTGACACTTCTCGCCATTTTCATATCAACTTTTCTCTTTAGTCTGACATGGCAATTTAATCAATTTATGATGCTGATGCAAGCAGTAGTGCTGTTCATACTGGACTCCTTAGACATGCTGCCAGCTGTGAAGGTAATCTTTGCTTTCTTTCCCTGTGTGTGATTTTCATTGTTTAGTGTTTTATATCACAGGACCAGATGAAAATATGCAAGTACTTAATGACAAAGTTGAAGCTCCTTTTTACATCTAATGTAAATATGCCAGGGTCAATTGAAGCTAAGTAATTTATGCAGCCCAGTTTGACAATCTTAACTTTTATTCTGCTTATTTTATGTTAAAAACTAGATCTATTTGGTTCATAAATGCCTAGGTCGATTTTCATCTAGAGATATGACTTATATTTTAGAATATAAGATAGCTCTCTTAAAATTTCTTAGTATGTATCACCTTTTTTTTTAAAGGATCCTAATGGGCATATAAGGATTTTTATGTAGCACTAAACTGTTCATAGTAGCATTTGATCAACAAGGGATATGAATCCAAATGTCACATGTGAAATAAGGAAAACCATCTCTATCTTCCATTGTGTGCTGCCTGATCAAATAATTATGAGGTTTGTTTGTTTAACCTAGGGGTGCTTAACTACTGAGCCACATCCCCAGCCATTTTTGTTTTTTATTTTGATACAGGGTCCTGCTAAGTTGCTTAGGGCCTTGCTAAATTGAGGAGGCTGGCTTTGAATTTGCAATCCTCCTGCCTCAGCCTCCCAATCACTGGGATTATAGGCATGTACCACAGCACCCAGGAATGTGCAGAAATGTTTTAATGTGCTTTGTACATTTTTTAAATTGCTCATAGCTAGTCACTTAAGTATTTCCCAAGTATAATAAAATATTATCTCCAGATCTAAGGAAGCAGTGTGCCCTATTTTGATGTGTTCCCTATCAAAAGAGATGCAGTAATCTTTGGAAAGTTCCAGGGTCTAAATTAAGAAACATTAAAGTCAACCCATAAACATATGTTGTTAGTAGCATAGGCACTACAAAAAATGCCCCCAAACCCAGGACATTATCGGTCCATCCATGAGGAGGTCACCATCTCATTTGAGAAATAAAGATATGGATATCTAGATCCACTAGAGACCTGAAAGGTGTAGTAGTGGTGAGTGCTGGAAGTCTAGAGGGAAAGTTCTTTTGAGGCAGAAAAGGTTTCACAGAAGTGAGAAGCAAGAGCTGGGCCACAATGAGAGAATTTAGGTGGAGTGCAAGGGAGCAGGATAGGAAGGTAGCATTCAGGGGAAAGCAAGGAGCTTCAGCAAGAGTGTGTGTGTCCACTGCAGTGGGGAGCAGTGACCGCCCACACACGCCACCAAAATATAGACTGCTGTCCTCTTCTGTGGTGGTTCTGCAGTAGGTATTAGAAGCCTAAAGCCATGTTTGTCCTTTGACTGGCACTTCTACCTTGGGAAGTTGGGCCTCTATTTAAACAATCAGCCATATTCATTCTAGTTGTATTGTATAAGAAAAAGCAAAAAATGACTTACATCAATATCAACAGAGAATGGTTAAATGAAGTACAGCATATCTGTGTACTAGAGTACTATTTAATCATTAAGTTTCCTCCTTTTTTTTTTTAATAGGACATAGGGAAAGTGAGAAAATATTCTGGAAAAAAATAAACATTGAAATGCTAACAATTATTTTTATGGTACGTGTTCTGTATATTCTTTAGTGGAATTTTTTTCTGTAGGGAAAAGTATTTCTTATAAAATTAGGAAACAGAACAAAAGGTACTGTTTTGGCTCCACACACAATTTAATAAAAGAAGCTGACTTATTTTATATTCAATTCTAAACTTTGTTCATCTTTTATATTTGAATCTATATTGGTATTAGAAGTAGTTCTAAGTATCTAATTTTAAGAAGAAACAGTTATTATCATGAAAAGATCCTGATTATAGAACCAAGTTGCTCCTATCTGAGAATAAACTTTAAACTCGGCAAGGGTTTTAACTTCTCAGAACCATAATTTCTTCCTAAATTACAGTCACTTATCTCTAATCATGTCAAACGGGAAGGAGTCAGAGTAATTGGAACAGAAAAAGGCAAGACAGAAGAAGCAGTATCTTAGCACGTCAGCTTCTCTTCACAAATGATGGGAAATCTCTTACCAACAGGAGCTCCAGTCTTCAGTCAGCAATGCAAACAAAGCCTTTAAAATTAAAAGCAGAACAGCAAATGCTATTAGTACGTACATACTTTGGTTTCATTAAAGCCTGAAAGATGTGAATTAATGAAGTGTAATTAACCTATTATGAAGATAAATACCTAACAGACAATTTTAAGTTTCCTATATGATTCCAGACGAGGTGGAGTAGACAATCTTCTCCCTATTTCTCCCCAAGGATAGTTTAAAACCCTGGACAGTATACTTGAAACAAAGATAAGAAGAGTTTGAGAAGTAGAGAGAGAAAGCAGACTGCCTAGACCCCACAAGACCAAGAAAAACCATGGTAGTGAGTTCCCTGGGTTTCTTTTTGCCTCGTATATATCCCAGACTGGGTACTGGAGAAGTCAGCGACCTGGAGGTAGCAGTGGGCTCAGACAAAAAAGCCTTCCCCAGAAGGAAAAGCTTAGCAAGATACGAAACTTTCAGACATTATCTGGCCTGTTCTAGTCAAATACCACAGACAAAATCGAAGCCTAGTTCCCATCTCAGAGGTTCTTACAAGAACCCAGACTTCTGCCCTCATCACCTGCAACAAAGCACAACTCGCTTCCCTTCAGGGCTTCATCAGAGAAGTACAGTGGGGAGCCAGTCTCTCAAGGACATCTGTAAAGGCCACATGGGGAGCCTGGGCTTCAGCCCCTACTTGCAGTCCTAAGATGTCTTTTCCCTTCCTCGCCTCGATGGTGTCAGAGGAAATCACCAGGGACGCTGAAATTCTTCTATTGCTCTGAGGCAGTGACCCTCCCTCTCCCCACTATCCCATCCCACATCATCAATGAAGATCCAGTGAGGAGCAGTAATGAAGCACCCTTCCCTTTCCAGGAAGGTGCCAGCAGAAGACTGGACTGTCTTTCACCTTCACCCAGCTGTAATGAGGCACCCTTGTCCCAGCACAGTAACACAATGTCAGTGGAGGTCAAGTGGGTGCCTGGACTCATCCCATCAGGAAACAACAGGGCAGTCCTAGTCTCCCCTACTGGCACAGCACTGGCCTGGTGCTATGGCTTGATGTTTGATACCCCCAGAATTTATATGTTGATGGTTTTAGATGTAGAGCTTTTGGGGGAGAATTAGTTCCATTGTAAAGTCAGCCCAAGGGACTTATTTGCCCACTCCATGAAGACAGAGCAAAATGTCATCAATGAACCAGGAAATGGATCCTCACCAGCCGCAGAATCTGCCAGTGCCTTAATCTTAGACTTTCCAGCCTCCGAAGCTGTAAGAAACAAAAATTGTGTTGTTTATGTGCTGCCTGGTTTATGATATTTTGTTCTCACAGCCCAAGTGGACTCAGACACATGGAGTCAGAGGAGGCTTGCCAAAAATTTAAATAAAATCCACAGTTTCATCATGTAACAGGATACAGTTGAAAATCATTTATTTTACTAAAAAACAGAAAAACGCTGTTCAAAGAGACAATTAACAGATGTCAGTACAAGACATAGAAGTTGAAATTATATGACAAGGAATTTAAAGCAGTCATCATAACAGGCCTTCATTGAGCAATTACAAACCCACTTGAAGCAGATAAATAGAGGATATAAAAATGAAACACATGGAAATCTTAGAACAAGAGAAGGTAGAAGAAAAATGAAAGTCTTAAATTTATGTATCAGAATCTACAAAGAAATGAAGAAAAAAATATAAGGTTGAAAAACATATTTTTTAAAAAAAATACTCTTTGAATAAATGGCTGAAAATTCCCCATATTTGGCAAACTATACAATAAACATACAGAATCAAGAAGCTGAGCTAATGTCAAATTGGATAAACTCAAATAAATACACATCAAGACAAACCATAATCAGACTTCTGAAGTCTAAGACAAAGAAAAAATCTTGAAAACAGAGGGACAAAAAAACGGAACTATAAACACCAAATCCTGAAGACAGAAAAAAAAGGGAAATAAAGAAATTGAAACATTCTCAATAACAGAAAACTAATATAATTTGTTGTCATTAGACTTACCCTAAAAGAATGGCTAAAAGAATTCTTGAAACAGAAAAAAAAATGATAAAAGAAGAAATTTTAGAACATTAGGAAGAAAGAAAAGGCAATACAAGAAAAGATATGAGAAAATAAAAATTTCTCTTTGAGTTTCTAAAAGTGTGTTTCATCAACTGAGGCAAAAATTATAACATTGTCTTATGTTATTCTCTATGTAGAGGAAATATTTTAAGCAATATATTTTAAATAGGAAGGTTAAAGGGCTTAAATGGAGATGTCTGTGTTTCACTTAAACTGCTAAAATGTTGACACAAATAGATGGTAATAAGTTATGAGTGTAATGTAATATTCAGAACAATCACTAAAACGTTTATACAAATAGATATGCTAAAAAATACCATGAATATCAGGCATGGTGGGGCACAGCTATAAACACTACTTGGGAGGCTGAGACAGGAGGATCACAAGTTTAAGGCCAGCCTGAGTAATTTAGTGAGACCCTGTCTCAAAATATAATAAAAAGGGCTGAGGATGCAGCTCAGAGGTAGAACACTTGCTTGGCATGCATGGGGTCCTGTATTTAATCCCTAATACTACCAAAAAAAGAAAAAAAGCCATGAATAAATATGATAAACTTCTAAGTATGGGGCTGGGGTTGTGGCTCTGTGGCAGGGCACTTTCCTCACACATGTGAGGCACTGGGTTCTATCCTCAGCACCAGATAAAAATAAATAAACAAAATCAAATATTATATCCATGTGTAGCTAAAATATTTTTTTAAAAAAAAGAGTAAGTGATCTAAATGTAATAATTGAAGGAGGTAAGAGAGGGGATTAGAAAAGCATGATCCAACTATTTTCTACCAAAAACTCCCTTTAAACATAACAAGATAGGTTGAGAATAAAAATAGAAAAGATATGTTATGCAAACACTTATCAAAAGAAAGAAGTGGATATA